AGGCTGGAATGCAGCGGTGCAATCTCAGCTCACTGAAACCTCCACCTCCTGGATTCAAGTGATTCTCCTGCCTTAGCCTCCTGAGCAGCTGGGACTACAGACATGTACCACCACTCCCAGCTAATTTTTTTTTTTTTTTTAATGTAGCTGACCAGCCTACCAGGTCTTTTATGCAGTTCAACATACACAGTGACACCAAGGTAAGACCAATGAAGTTCCAGTTTGGGTGCCTCCATCTCCCTCCCCTGGATCCTGATCCAGTGACTGTCAAAGCCAGAAAGAACTGGGGTAGGGTGCTTGTTCATGGGGAAGGCTGTTGTGGTTCACCCGGCAGATGGGAAAGGGGGAAGGTTTCACTTCTTCACAATTTGAATGACATCCTCGTCCTCCCACGTATGGTCTTTACCCACTTTCTGAGGATTGTGTTTCACAGAGAGACCCCAGAGCAGAGCATATTTAAATTCTTTGATAAGATTTTTGTGAATCTTCATGCAGAAATCCTCCACTGTGGTCCTGGAATAAGAAGCACCACTGGGATGTGTAATCTGGTAACTGGCCTTTGGGTGTGGTGTAAATTCTCACTAGTTTCAGATAGTCCCAGATCTTTTCCAATAAGTCATCAAAATTCCAACGGTGACGGGCAGAGATGGGTACACAGTGAGGCACCTTATAGATGATATCTAATTTGTCAATGGAGATTTGGTCAATCTTATTTAGCACGTAGATACAGGGGATATAAACTCTGTTTCCTTCACCACACCAATGAGGTCATCAGCTGTAGAGTCACATCGGCATTATGAATCTTGTATTCGGCCAGAATGCTTTTCACAGTTTCAGCATCCAGCTCACTCTGGGGTCAAGTGGCTGTGAGATTAATGCCTCCCTTGTCCTTCTTCTTAAAGCCAATGTTGACGGGTTTGCTGTTCAAGCGAATGCCAAAGACTTCCAGTTCATTTTCAATTATATTCTTATGTCCCAAGGGTTTCAGGACATCCAGAACAATCAGGATGAAGTTACAGGTTCAGGCCACTGCAATGACTTGATGACCTGTACCTTTCCCATCCTTGGCACATTCAATGATACCTGGGAGATCCAGGAGCTGGATCTTGGCACCTTTGCATCTGATGACACCAGGCACGGTGGTCAGAGTAGCGAATTCATAGGCGGCTACCTCAGAATACACCCCTGCCAGGTTACTAAGCAGTGTTGACTTTCCCACAGATGGAAAACCAACAAATCTAATTCGAGCGTCACCTGTCTTGGCCACATCAAAACCTTCTCCTGGACCTCCACCACCACCACCCTTTGGAGTAATGAGTTCTCGACGAAGCTTAACAAGACGAGCCTTAAGCAGCCCTAGGTGGTGTGCTGTGGCCTTGTTGAGTCTGAGCCATCTCAGCTTCTATCTCCGCGATCTTAGCTAAGGTGCTGCTCATCCTGGCGAGTCCCCTGTGGCCTCCACACTGACTGTCTCTCTTCACACACCTGCGGGCAAACTGCCACCAGCACCAGGCACTACTCTAATTTTTGTATTTTTAGTAGAGACGGAGTTTCACCATGTTAGCCAGGCTGGTCTCAAACTTCTCACCTCAGGTTATCCACCCACCTCCGCCTCCCAAAGTGCTGGGATTACAGGCGTGAGTCACTGCGCCCCGCATACATGCCGTAATCTTAATCAGCCAAAGCCCAGAAAAGAAGAAACAACAGATTTTGATGTGAAGGTCAATTCCCTGGATGACTCACACCTGCAAAGCCCATCAAAGGCTTCCTTAACAGCTCTAACAGAAGTTGGTGGCTTTCTCTGAACACCTCCATTTATAGGACACAGGATTTTACTGCGGACGTGTGGAATGCCTTTGGTGTCAGTTAGTAGCAAGGAGCAGGCAAGCAGCCAGCACATCCCAATTCAAAGTGATCTTTATAGTCCTGTCTTTGCTTCTCTGGTGAGTAACGGCAAAGCACAGCAATATTAACTCCAACAATCCCACCAGATTTGTTCAGAGTTTTCCAGCATTTGGCTGGAAGAGGACTTGGTGCACGCAATGCCACGTCTTCTTCCTCTGAAACATAGTCTTTCTGGCCCAATCAGGAAGGTCTCCTGACCTGGTCCAGATGTGCCCATTCTGATCCCAGCTAACTACGTGCTCTGCAACGAGCAGGGAAGGGGCAGCCTAGCTGTACAATGCCACAGTATTTGGACACATGCATGGTGTTTGGACATTGCTCTCACCATCAAGGTCAAGCAGAGTGGGCCCCTGTGGCAGCCCTCCAAGGCAGGTTTGTTTCCCTTCTACTTTTAAGAACGGCTCTATTTCATCTCCAACAAATATCTCCTCTGGGTTGAACGGGATGTAAGATTTCATTTTGGAAACCGGCAGTAGAATGGGGGACCATATCTAACAGGCTCACCTCAAGCTTGGAGGGCCCAGCAGCCAACCCTGCTGTTTCCTAAGTAACCAGCACCTTCCTCCTGCTTCTTAACCCCTCACCCCCCATCCAGGAGCGCTGAACTCTCAGAGACAGGCCCCTCCTACTCATCCTCTACAGAGGAAAGTTAGGAGGTTTGCCATGGTGTGAGCAGGCTCAGGCACCTGCCTTTGTTGGGGGCCTGGAGCCCTGTGAGCGCCGCCAAGGATATCCTGCTGCTTATCGATCATGTGGATTTTTAGGCTGGGTTCTGTTGAAGACTCGTGGGAGAGGACTGGATCCCCCTCACAGCAACCACAGCAGCTCTGCTTTGCTCTGCCTTATTTGTAGATACATGCGACCCTTCCCTTGAAAGAGAGCTCTCACTGCTTAAAAGGATGTATGCAAATGTGTCCCACCTTTGTTTGCAACAGAGGCTCAGAAAAGTGAAAAGGCTCACCCCAGACCTGAGCGAACCACAGGCAGGCCCAGCGCGGGCATCCCGGTCTCCAAGAGTGGCTGCTTCCGGCTGGCACCCCAGGCACTGCCTTCCTGTTTTTCTTTCCTTGATAGTACTGAATAAGCAGCACAGAGCGGCTCCCTACCCAAGGGCTCTAACCAGGATGTCCGAGAAGACAGCTGGCAGTGGAAAGAGCTGGGGCAGGGTGAGGGGGCAGGTCAGGTCAAGTCTGCCTTCAGCAAGTCAGGCTACAGGGAGAAAGTTACTCAACCTCCCTGA